ACACACGCACGCGCACGAACGCACTCACGCACACACACACACACACACGCACGCGCACGCACGAACACACGCACGCACACACACACACACACACACGCGCGCGCGCACACACATCACACAATATTATGTACACGCTAACACACGCAATCATACACACACGCATACACACACACACACACACAAATGGCGCAATAATCGCAGCGACGACCCTTTTCGATATATAAATACGGCATGTGAACCGGGACCATCGTAATTATGTCGTATATTACAGAAGGCGAGTGACGGATAGTCGTTGCCAGACCTATCTATAGGCTACAGTCGGCCCGACGCCATTCGTCATGTTAGGCACGAGACGTCGGCGAGCGTTCGTGAACCAGTAGTTGATCTGCTGGATTGAGAGGCGCGTCTGTCTGATCAGCGCATCCTTCTCGTCGTCGTTCGGGTAGGGATACTCCAGATGAGCGAGCAACCACTGCTTCATCGTGCGCACGGCCTGCAATGATGAGATATTTCTCGACATGATGCATCAGCGGCGCCACAATGGTTTCACGATAGAGTGATAGCGAGTAGCTCGATGATGCGCGTTTGTCATTGGTGTATCGAATAGATTCTGTTACTAGGAAAACCTCCAGGATTTAGTCTTTGGGTGGTTCGTTGTTTGGGGATGAGGATTGCTAGTGCGAGAAGAGCACCAGTTGTTGTTTAAAATAATTGGCTCGCTTAGCAAACCATATTCAGTAATGCATCGTGTTGACAGGTTGACACCGCTCAGATCAATTTACACTACTCCACTAATCGATAGTCATGGTTAATATATATATATATATACTAACAACCCCTTACACCACAAGATAATGCAAGGAGATTTCATCACCTTAAAAATTTAATATTAAAAGTTAAATATCTAGGTATATTGATCAAGTGTGAACGAAGAGACATCGCCTTTTAAGTAGATTGTGGTAAAACAATTTACGAGAATACAAATAATTACGCCAGACGCTTCTCCAGGTCATGCAACCTAACCGAGTTATCATCTGTGATAGACCATATTATGCTCATACCTCCGTTGGCAGATTTCCGTTTTCTCTTCTTGCAGCAGATAAATCCGTAGCGAGTGTCATGTGTTTCGCCTCTACACGCACGTCGTTGACATCCTGCACATATAGACTCGCATTAGCTGATGATTAGCGCGCGTTGTTGTTAACGGAAAGACGGAAAGGAAGCCGGGTAATCAGTTACTAGCCCTTATTACCGGTGCTGATGCTGGGCAGTAGGTGTAAGTTATCAGGAGTGAACAATCAATTGCTACTATGTAACACATTTCATGTTATGATTGTATTTATTCAAAACAAATGAACAAGGAGATAAACTATCCCAACCACAGATTATTTATTAATTATTCATACCATATTGTTCTTCAGTGTTTTATCGAACCGTTCGAAGAAATCATCAATTGCGTTCGATGACCTTGAAAAGAGCTTTCCTTCTTTCTCGAGTGATCGTCTGTGCTCTATTTTTCCTGGCGAATAGCCAAACCAATGATATAACGTTATATATTGACATAAACGTATGCTCATATGAAATGCATCCACGATTATGTGGTTACAGCCGCAGGCTCACCTGCGCGTAAACGGAGCACGTTTACAATAGCACCTACTACATTATTTAGGTAACATTTAATGTATTGATTGACTCAACCTGTGTGACAGTAACAGCGCAGCCTAGGCCACTTCGACTACGTTTGGTTCATTACTCCTTCACATTTGTCTGTGATTTATTAAACCAGCTAACAGAACGCCTGAACTATAGAATAAAGGCCGAAGAAGGTTTAATTACATAAACTAATTGAGAAAAAGTTTGACGTTATTCTATAAATCTGCCAGTGACTACAATGAATTAACTAAGGCTTTTATCATATATTTTTTAGTTGTATTATTGGAATTAAGCTCAGTATAAAAAAGAAAGCATATAATAGATCCAACTTCACTAGTGATAATAACTTTATTGTTTCCGGATATGAGTTGGATCGTTTGAATATAAATATGAATCGATGTCAATACCACCCAGATCAGTCTCAGACTATGTTTAGTGCTATTAGTGGACACTTTCCATATAGGAAATGGTCTTTTTTTAAATATAATTTTTACAAGAACGTGGGAGTCATTTTAATTGAAGCCGATAATTTCCAGTGAGGTTATAACTGCTTTACTTACTCATCACAGATTCGTGTGTGAGGCGTAGAGATTCCATAAACACCCGCTCCATGTTCTGATCGCATTTGCCGCTAACCGCCTTCTTGTTCGCGGCGGGTGGATTTTTATCGAGATATTTCTACAAAGAGAAGCGTTGGTACAGTTACGTCTCTGAGTAAGTCATGCGATGCGAGTAGGTAAGTAATGTGCTAGTATAATTCGGAGAAAATGTGCGTACAATTGGAAGAAAAGGGGGGTAGGGTAGGTAAAAGAAGAAGGAGAACAAAAAAAGAAGAAGAAAAAAAAGAGGTGAAAGAAGATGATGAGGATGAAAACTTGTCGGTATAATATTCGCACAAGCCGCATAGCGATCATACGTCCTAGCACTATGACATACAATTTTCGCTGAGATTGGAAATATAGCAAACAAAATAGGTCTATAGAAACCATGATAAAACAATGTTAACAGTACTATGTTGGCGGAGTTACCTGTATGAGTGCGTTGAGATCAGACGGTAGAGAGTAAAGCAGATGTATTGGGCTGCTCGGTCTGTCAAACGTATCATCTACGAGCACCATGTCTCTAAGAAGTGGGTAGAGCGGGTGCGACCTAAAACATAATAGTCGTATAATGGTCGTATATAATTAACATCAAGAGTGAATAATAGAGAATCTCTATTATTTACTTCTGTTAACATATATATATATATATATATCGGGGGTTCGACGTTAAGCTTAGAATTTGAGATAAAGTAAACAGTACTCTAAATGAAATTCTAGCGTCAACTTCAACACTATAACCCTAACACTGTCCATAATGTGAGTAATTAATCGGTTTTAAAGTCCTGCGCAAAATATACACCGTCAATGCGAATGAAACATGCGGCAACCTAATCCTACTAATTAGCACGACGCGGTGTGACCTCTTGTTCACACCCGCATCAGCTGTCGTGACGATTGCGCGCACATCCTCGTATATAATTAGGTTTCGTGCCACACGGGTGTCGTTATACGCGGTTAATAAAACGAACGTGCGCTATGCTAATGGCAAAAACAAAGCTTAACACGCTGTCGTCAAATTACAAGAGTGTAGCCTGTTTTTCTGGCTTCTTCGACGTTTCCTGTCGCGATGGAACGCGAACATAATTATTAGGCAGGCGCTTTCGATCGACAGCTGACTGTATAGGGCTTCCATTGAAACCAGCTATTAATATAACTACTGTGTTACGCGCGCGCGCACACACAGCGAGAAAGAGAGAGACACTAAATAAGTACAGAACGTGTAGAATTTAATTCACGATCTGCTAAACGCATTTATGACGCACAACATTTTCGCTGTCTTTGCTTTCTGTGCTTACCTGCACGTTGCCGCGGCATCCTGCAGCAGCGTATATTGTGTGAACGGGGGCTGTCCGCCCATGCCGTAGCCGACCGCATGTGCAGGCATCTGGAACACCGACGATGGCGACAACCCCGGATACGGAGAGCTCCCCGGTGGCGGTACAGTCGCGAACATCGCGTACGGCGCCGTTTGCGCTAGCGACATCGTCGGCGTCGGCGGCAGGAACGCGTCGGCCGTGATGGCGAAGCCGGAACGCGCAACCGGCGTGAACGGAGATACGGGATATTTCCCCGATAGCGACGGAGAGAAATGCGGCCCCGGTACGGCGTGCATGCCGTAGAACGGACTGGCCGGAAAGCAGAGCGGGCTGTAGAACGGCGAAGGCAGCACGGGAGACGACGGAGCGGCGACGGCCGACGACGAGGCCAGGGATAGCGGCGGCGGCTTCCCGCTTCTCTCCAACGTGCTCTGTGCAGGGATGTCGTAGGGCGTCACGCGCGATCCCGTGCGCCGCGGCCCGCCGTGTGCTGCGAGCGTGCCGTTGTCATGACGATTCATTGGACTCAGCTGGCTGACGGAGCCAGCAGGACTCGCCGACTTTCTCCCCAGCGTGTTAATACTGTCGCAGCTTCCGCATTTGCTTCTCGTGTCTGAGCTGATGCTGGCGACCTCAGACGAGTGATAACCAAGGTCATCTTGGGAGCACAGGTGGTCACCATTAGCGCTACCACTGTGCAGCATCCACTGCTGCTGCGAGCTCAAGGAGCTCGATACGCAGGACAGATATTCATCTGGACCCTTCGATGACGTATGCTCGTTTTCTCGGCTAGCGGAGCCTGGTCGGCCACCGAGATTGTTCATCATCGCGTCGTTACGTGATAGCATCGACCTTGCGCTTAAACGCTGCTCAACTTCGCTGCCGACGCCGAAGTGCGACGCCAGAGGCTTACCGTTGATCGTCGCGAGATCCTGACGCGGTGAACCCAGCGGTTGCTTACGGACACCCGCCGTACTCGCGAAGGGCGCATTCCTGGTAATAAACGGCTCCTCTTGGCCGACGTCGATGATGCCATCGTCATTGTCGTCTGTCGTCGGCTCCGTTGTCGGCTGACCTTTGCGAGCTTCTCGAATTGATGATTGCGTCGACGGTTGTCGTCTCTCGTTGCATATACTCGGCCAATTCTCGGACGACGGATTGCTAGCAATGCGGTGCGCGTCACTCGTCGACATTCTGTCCTGTTCGTGCCAATTGATAGCAGTCTTTAGATGTGAGGAGACGTCCGCAAGCGGCGATCGCGTGAACGTCGGTGCATACGGACTGTAACTTATTACTGTTTTCCGCGTATCCACATGAGACGCCATGTTGATCTGGAAAGTACGCCGACAGAATTTAAATGTGCATAGCGCGTCTTCCGACAGTGCCAATTTCCGCTGCGAAACTGTTCGAAATAACTGAAGACAAGTTTCGGGTTCGTGACGTTTCGCTCAAATGAAAATATTTGCATGTGCTGTGAAATGCATATTAAAATAATTCTGTGAACGGTACGCTGAAAACGGCATGATTGTTATATATTTATATATTACTATATATAACGCTAGCCATAGGTGTCGAATATGCGTATAAACTGTAAATCGCATATAGAGACATAACAGTAAAAATGACAAGGGCTTACCTCACACGCAGAGCGCTGTCGTCTAATTGACGTCTTCGAAGCACAAAGAATAACTACAAGTGCATATCTCAGCTCTGCACGATGTGACACGCAGTCGAAGGCAGCTCTATAAGGAACCCGCTGCGTTTATCACCCGAGGAGTAAGAAGGATTTCTTTTATTACGAGCGACCCGACTCGGGTTGGTACCTAGCACCAGAACGTGCAACAAACCTGCGTTAGCGTCCGGAAAACATCGTTAAAATTACTAAACCAGGGGTGTAGCGATCGGTGCTAAGTGCTAACGAGGTCGTTGTCAAAACAGCAAGCGATGATCTCTGCACGGGTTTGTAATGTCCCGCTCGACCGCCGGATCGCACGACGCCTAGAATCCTGTGTGCTGAGAGGTCCTCGTCTACATAGCAATCACGTGTAGACGCTGAAATGTGTTCACGAGTGAACGCGCCGGATCTTAAATCAACACGACGCGCGTGTGCGCATCGCGGATGAGGAACGACCTATGCTAATTAAGCTGCGACACAGCGACCTTTGAGACTCCACTCAATCGCAGTTTGCATTGCGAGTAACGCTAAACAGAATGCGATTGGGATGGATTAGTCACGTCATTCCGCACCAAGCGGACAACGCGTGAACAGTAATTGTATTATTATTTTATATACTCTATTATATACATATTGTATTACTATGACCATATGAATGCTTAAATATTTATATCCTCCGAAAACATTCCATTATTTTTATAATAAATATCTTTAAATTTTACAAATATTGCATATAAATATCGTACAGGCGTTTAGTCGTACCTAGTTTTACGAGATTCTCAACAATGATAATAGTAACTGCCACGTGTCATAGAAGCCATATGAGAATCTAATCACGTGACCCGGATATTTAACACAGAGAGTCATACAGCTGGCACAGTCACGTATATCGCTGGAACACATCCGCATGTCCGGCGACAACTCATCTCATATACTCTACTAAATTATCTACAAGACTTGCACGACAACATGCCTCATCAACAGCAGAATAGGTAAGTCTCCTGCCAATAGCAGCACATAAATAGTAATGTGTCATAGCACAACGCGTGTAAATATTTACATTCTAAGTTATGTAGAATTATTCGTTCTCTCTTGCGCGCTCCGTCGTCCCAACTCCCCCTCAATCTCTGCATATAATAACGCGTGTGTGTCTGTGTGTGCGTGTGTGTGCGTGCGTGCGCGATACTTAAATAAAAATGAGCAATTCTTACTTTAGGATCGGTTGAACCGTGTGTGCGCGCGTGTATGTGTTTGTATTTGTGTGCATGTGTGTGTGTGTGGTGTGGTGTGTGTTGTGTGTGTGTGTGTGTGTGTGTGTGTGTGTGTGTGTGTGTGTGTGTGTGTGTGTGTGTGTGCGGCGTAGTTTTAAAAATTGGGGTGTTTGTATTTGTGTGCATGTGTGTGTGTGTGGTGTGGTGTGTTGTTTGTGTGTGTGTGTGGTGTGTCTGTCGTGTCGTTGTGTGTCGTTGTGTACGTGCGTGTGTGTGTGTGTGTGTGTGTGTGTGTGTGTGTGTGTGTGTGTGTGTGTGTGTGTGTGTGTGTGTGTGTGTGTGTGTGTGTGTAGTGTAGTGTAGTGTGTGGTGGTGTGTGTGTGTGTGGGTGGTGTGTGTGTGTGTGTGTGTGTGTGTGTGTGTGTGTGTGTGTGTGTGTGTGTGTGTGTGTGTGTGTTTGCAAGCGTAAGCGCGTTCGTGCATGTATCAGTGTAGGCGCCCATGTGTGTATTAGTGTGCGCGTGTGCACGCCTAATATGCGAATTATATTATTTCACTGCAACGTCAATGGTTAATTATTAAATGGAAGCGCAACAACGCGCATAAATTCCCATAAACGACGTGGCGCTTTAATGGAACCGACCTATAATCACCATATCATGACACTGCCTACAGCACCAGTGATGAGGAAGCGCATGAGAAATGGGACTCGTTCAACATGGAGACGGTGATGCAGAGAGCAGGGGTGAATGAGCGGTCGGTGATGCTGATGGTGACCAGAGTGGTCAAGGTCATCGTCTACATCGTCGTCTTCATCATGATGACGGTCTGCGCCACAAGTTCAAAGGTCAGCCTCATCTACATGACGTCACAGCTCGGCGAGCCGGGCCCGGAGGCTGATGCGCTGTCTGGGAAGCGCATGTTTGCGGGTAAGCTCGTATATGACCTGCTTAATGTTCATGTGCCCCATTAACTACATGTAATAATTACGCATGGTGCCGATAATTTATGTTTGAATGGACCTTTGATGGACGCATTAGTTTCGTAATTAACGCAGATATGCGGTCATAGTTACAATGAAATGCCTCCTTAAGTTGAACAATCAAGTGATTGCTAGAGCAGAACCAGCTCGACCAACCGATCGAACCTAACCTGAATTGACCGCCATAGTTTGTTGTTGTTTGCGAGAGAAAATGAAACTAGGCAATTACGACGATGTCACCAGAATGAATGAACCGGTTGCAGAGCAACGATGACTTCCCAGTATGTTTTCTGTGTGTGCAGGGGATGGGCCATCGCCGATCTGGTACTGGATGATCTGGGTGGCTGTCTCCGTTCCTCACCTGTTCGCGTTCTATCGCTGCGGGATGATCGTAGCATTCAGGCGAACAAAGTGGCCATCGCGAACCGCATTCTTCGTGGTAAGCAACTACCTCTAGCGCGAGTCAGTGATAAATAACTTACGGTGTTGTCGCGCCGAAGTGTCAAGGACCATATCGCAGAGGTGCTACTCTCTGATGCAGTTTGGAAAACAGAAGAAAAAAATACAACTTCGCAACTAATTAGGCCTACTCAAATTTCGCGCGACGTATTATAACAGCTTCGACACGCGTAAGCCGTACCTTAAATTTAATTTTAGCACCGACGAAACACACTGAAATTGAAAAGAGGCAACGATAATATATAGCTATAGGCCGTGGCTATACGCATTCGACTTTCGCGACATATATAGTTACAGACTGATATAGGACAGAAATCATTGCTGATGGACACCTAACAATATCCCCTTGCCCTTTATAACAAAGGGTAAAGAATATAGCATAAATATTAACATTTAAACACTATAACTAATACATATAGTGCAAATAACTATAGCCAAATACTATAAACACTCAATATGTTACGTACAGTAACGGGTAAGTAAGTCTAATAGTAGGAGTAAATAATCTCCATTGAGATTTTAAGTTTGAGATGATTCATTGCAGCTAATGCGGCTTCATCTACCGTTATAGGCGTTACTTATGGAGACTGCGCACACCTGCGGGATATCGCTAATGGTATTCAAGATGCTTCCCAGACTAGGAGCGCACGTCGGTGTGCTGCTGACGGCAGCAGTGGCGCTCCTGCCGGCCATCCTTCTCTTCATCTTCCGCATCTGCGCGCTTCCGGGGCTTCGCTCTGCAGCGATGCTCGTTGGTGATCTTCTAGCGCTACTCATGCAGGCGAGCGTGTTCGCGTGGCTCGCTCTCTACACTGCAGACCCGGAGACGATCTGCTGGGTAGTGGTGTCGGTCGCTCTCGTCTCCGTCGGGCTGTGGGAGGTGTTCGTCAATGAGAACGCACCTCGTCGGCTGCTGCGTGGACTCATCGATGTGAAGAGAGAGCTGAACGCAAACAGGCACAAAACCTACTTGCTGTTGAGCATCTGGAAGATTTGCCTTACGTTCGCCTTTACGCTCTTCTTCGGCATCACGACGTTCGGAAAAACATCGTTCTTTCAGCCGATGTCGCACGCGCCGCGCGAAACCGACGATGGCTCTTCGGTAGATGGTGCCAGGGTGCTGTGGGGCGTGCTGGTGCACGTGCTGTCGTCGAGCGTCGGCTATCTCGTAGCGGCTTTTTCGCTGCGCTCCCAAATGCAGATTGTCGGCTTCACGATTCCGCTAGTAGCCAGCCAATTAATCTCCATCGTCGCTGTCTTCCTGCTGTCCTGCGTGGACGAGGCGGACCTGGCAGTGAACGACTGGCGCGGAATCACGATGTGCAGCGAGCTACCAGAACTCATCAAGCGCCTGTTCGTGGAGAGATACGCGTGGATGTCCGTCTTCTGGTTCGCATCCTTTGTCTGGATAACAGGACACGTTTGGTTTCCGCGCTCGAACAGAATGGCCAAGTCACACACGTACGTATGCCATGGCCCGACATGATATGCTTAACCAGGCTACCGTATAGCCACTGTTACGAAGATTTGAGTGTTGTGTATTTTCTTTATGTCGAACCGCAGTCTAAAGACGGATATGTGTAATGGTTTACAAGGCGAGTTCAGATCATCACAGCCGCGTACAACTAATTGGTCATGATTTTTTTATTTTATTTATAATTCTGGTTAGTTCTGACATTCATTCAATCAGGTAGTGCTGCGGTTTAAGGGCTTTTATTGTGTTTTGGGCGGGAAAATCGCAACTTCACAAACTGAACCATTTTCTTGATCTGCGATGTTTTTTCTCAGGTTATTTTCGAGACCCTTTTATTGCAACGTTCTTTTTGCTGAAAGTCTTCTACTGAATCGCATCAACGAGCGAAACATTTCTGAATGCCGACCTATAGTGAGTACATCGACTATATTGTAATTTTATATCGCATTTCTACTAATAACGCGCTCATACACGTGCGTGTGAATGAAACACATACTCAGCTTCTCTATCGTTTCCTACAGTCTATATCGATGCCTACATGTTTCAGTGTTTCACATCGGTAATGACATTACATGTAGGAGGATAAGACGTAGATGTATTATATATATAGCATATATATATATATATATTAGGCGTTTCCCGGGGAAATCAGTGGCGTTACTCAGTTGGTGACCGCTTGGTTAAAAGGAAAATACCCAAAAAAATCTAACTATCTATCCATGCATCCATCCATGCATCCATCCCATTCCATGCCATCCCATCCCATCGCACCGCACCGCATCCCATCCCATATGCCATGCCATGCCATGCCATGCCCTGCTATGCCATCGCATCCCATCCCATCGAACCGCATCCCATCCTATCCCATGCCATCCCGTCGCACCGCATCCCATCCCATCCCATCCCATCCCATCCCATCCCATCCCATCCCATCGCATGCCATCGCATGCCATCTCATCCCATGCCATCCCATTCCAAACAGTAAAAAACAATAAGAAATCAAAAGATAAAAGACATTAAAAATAGAAAATAGAAATTAAAAAGTAAGAAATTAAAAATAATACATACTAAAGAGGTCGGTGAAGGGGAAAAAATAAAAAAAGGAGGAAATAAGTACCCCAGCTGGGACTCAAACCCGGAATCCCGGTGTAAGAGACGGATGTTCTAGCGATTATGCCACTTCGCCGTTAAAGGTATACACAATGGATTCACACGTACGTGATGTTTTAATCTGTACGCACCGCCATCTATTGATGAATAGAATTTTTATCAATTTTTAACTTTAACTGTTTGTTTCAGCCAGAACCACCTCCCAGACGTGCTGATTCTGAAAATATTTTTAGTTTTCCTCTAGGCTGCGGAGTTCTCTAGTTATGCGAGTACGGACTAATGTGGCTGAACAACTTTATATATATAGATTTTCCTCTAGGCTGCGGAGTTCTCTAGTTATGCGAGTACGGACTAATGTGGCTGAACAACTTTATATATATATAGATATATATCGGTGCTGGTGTGAATTAGCTTATAATCAAATGCATAAGTTTCTCCTCAGAACGAATATTCATTAATTAAACCGTGTCACTTAAATTCTGATTGGTCCTAAACATAAAAAGACTTTGCACCAATCTCATGGAAGGCTATTACCTTTCGTAGAAAGAAGCAGATTAAATAATCATAACTGGCTGTGTCAAGATAGTCAATGTCTTTCGAAATCCAATTACTTTCTAAAGTTAGGCGCAATTTCAAGGAGATGACAATGAAAAGTTTTGCATGTTAATGGCAGTGTGCTTGATGATAACAGAACTCTCTCGTCTGACGTCTGCACAGAATGCTGTCGTGGGTAGCTACGTGGAGCGACTTGCTATAGACCTAAAGCAGCCGCAGTTGTCCAGAAACGTCCACAAGCTGATAGAGGAGGCGCCGAGCAAACCCGAAGATGCACCAAGATCAGAGCGGCGACCGACGAAGATCTACATGTGCGCCACCATGTGGCACGAAAATACGAACGAGATGCTTCAACTGATCAGATCTATCCTAAGGTGCGATAACGGATAGCGCGAGAATAAAAAAATACGATTGATTAAAACACGTTTTTTATAAGGCAGCATGACTCACAACTCTAACATTTATTCAAACTTTGACTTTTGGCGCGGCGTTCACTTGATGCGCTTACTACATTACGGATAAACGCAATGTCGTTTCTCTAAAAGTGTCATACACTAATTATGTACTACTTTGTTTAAGCCTCGATAAAGATCAGAGTGCAAGACGTTTGGCTATGAAATATTTCGAGAAAGACCATCCTGATTATTATGAACTTGAAGGTACGCCAGCCGTTTCCCCGCTGGTAGCTAGGTTCAAAACCAGAGCCAATCAATCTTGAAGTAACCGTAAACCTACCATGTTAAATACTTCGATTACTATAATACAATATAGTATCATACTTAATATATATATATAGGTGTATATACATATATAAGTTTATTATACAACTATTACATGTATAGTAGGTGTAGTATGTGAGTATAAATTTTGTACTTTTTTGATACCACAGCATATTTAATATATTCTTCAATTTTAAACACTGCTAACTCAAGTATCATAGTTTTACGACTGCGTTTTCTTTCTTCATTAAGCGATCAATTAACAATTTTAAAATACATGCGAGAACTGTCTTCCGTAGTTCACATCATGTTTGACGACGCATTGGAAGAAACTGCAGAAGGCGACACTATCAATGAGTTTGTTGTTGTGTTTATAGAGACGCTGCTTGACGCCGTGCAGTAAGTAACTAAACATACATACATACATATATACATACATACATACATACATACATACATACATACATACATACATACATACATACATACTATACATACATACATACATACATACATACATACATACATACATACATACATACATACATACATACATACATACATACATACATACATACATACATACATACATACATACATACATACATACATACATACACTACATACATAACATAACATATCTCATGCATCGCATGCATGCAATGCGCGCGCACGGCCGGCGGCCGTACGACAACGCACGCACGCACGCAACGCACGCACGCACGCACGCACGCATGCATGCATGCACGCACGCACGAGCGCACGCGCGCACGCGCGCACGCGCGCACGCGCGCACGCGCACGCACGCATACGCACGCATACACGTATGCACACACGCACGCACGCACGCACGTGTGTAGTGTGTGTTTAGTGATCGCGTGTTGTGTTTGATGGCCGCGTGTTGTGGTTAGTGACCCCGCGTCATGTGTAGTGACCGCGTGTTGTGTTTAGTGACTGTGTGTTGCGTTTAGTGAGCGCGTGATGCTTTTAGTGACCGTGTGTTTTGGGTAGTGACTGTGTGTTGTGTTTAGTGACTGCGTGTTGTGTTTAGTGCCCGTGCATTGTGTTTAGTGACCGCGTGTTGTGCTTAGTGACCGTGCATTGTGTTTAGTGACTGTGTATTATATTTAGTAACCACGTGATGTGTTTAGTGACTGTGTATTATATTTAGTAACCATGTGTTGTGTTTAGTTACTGCGTGTTGTGTTTAGTGACCGCGTGTCGTGTTTAGTGACCCGTGTCGTGTTTAGTGACCGTGTGTCATGTTTAGTGACTGCGTGTCATGTTTAGTGAATGCGTGTTGTGTTTAGTGACCGCACATTGTGTTTAGTGACTGCCTTTTGTGTTTACTGACGCGATGCAATAGATCTTTCACGAATGAAACCACGGATGACTTGCCATCGGTGAAGATTCCAACACCACACGGAGGTCGCGTTGAGTGGACACTGCCCGGCGGTACACCGCTAGTGCTGCACCTGAAGGATAAAAAGCTCGTAAAACGGCGAAAGCGATGGAGTCAGGTAAGTTAGCACTAGCTTCTAAATTGATACTCAATAACAATACTTAAATAAGAGGCGCTCATGTTGTCACCGTGTTTTGCACTGACATCGTGCGTTTGGTAGCAGGTTCAAATCGATAAACTCACGTTTAAGTCAAACCTAGATTGCAACTTCGTCACGTGAAAATGGAGGAAAACGTCATTATTCGTAGTGATAATCGGTGCAATAACTTCCACTGATCTAAATGCAAAGGTTAGGCAATGAGGTCCGAATATAGCATGCAGCAGCGGATTGCGTTATAATCCCATAATACGTGCGTTGCAAAACAAGTGACACCTCATTACGGGCAGGTCATGTACATGTACTACCTACTCGATCTGAAACTACGAAGTACGATAGTTGACTGTAGCCTGCAGGAGCAGCATGACGTCACGGGAAGAACGTTCGTGCTAGCCGTCGACGGTGACTCTAACTTCGAGCCTGCCTCCGTATTGAAACTGGTCGATCTATTGAAGATGAACGATAATATCGGTGCAGCATGCGGCCGCATCCATCCTATTGGATGGGGTAATTATCTAACAGCAGCAGTAACAACAACAACAACAACAACAACAACAACAACAACAACAACAACAACAACATCATCAACAACAACAACAACAGCAAGAAACAATAATAATGATGATGATAATAATATTGATAATAATAATAATAATAATAATAATAATAATAATAATAATAATAATAATAATAATATCAATGTGTGCTGGATTTAAGTGAATTCATATTCGTCTATATAGGACCGATGGTATGGTACCAACAGTTCGAGTACGCGATCGGACATTGGTTCCAGAAGGCAACCGAGCACGTACTGGGATGCGTGCTCTGCAGCCCTGGCTGCTTCAGCTTGTTCCGCGCAAGGGCGCTTATGTGTCCCAACGTGATGGGGAAGTACAGCAAGATCGCCCGAACAGCGAAGGCTCACTTTCAATCTGACCAAGGTGGCATATCACTAGAACCAAGAGCGTATTAAGTATGCTCTTGCTAGAACTTAACGCATACTTAATACGCTCTTGCTAGAACCCATGTATACCCGAGTGACGTAGCATACGTCGGGCCATGCAATTACCAACTACAAAATGCAATAGGAAAACCGAGCAAACAAAAGTGTAAACAACGCAACGATGGTGTTGTATAATAATTATGTGATACTTTCTCGATAGCCGCGCGTATATTAGCACCCGTATACTAGTACGACATTCGACATGATGCGCGGTGTTGTTGTTATTGTCTGCCACCAGGGGAGGACCGCTGGCTGTGCACTCTGCTGCTACACGAGGGTTATCGCGTGGAGTACTGCGCAGCCGCAGACGCGATGACCTACTCACCCGAGAATCTTGCGGAATTCTTCAACCAGCGATGTCGCTGGATATCGTCGACCCTGGCTAACAACCTCGATCTGATTTTCGGTGAGACGCGCCAAGCATAGATGCCGCGTGGGAGTCTGAAACGTGCGGAAAACATGCGATTCATGAATAATTCGATGCAATTCAAGCGTTGGCGAGTCGTTTATTATTAATATTTAATAAGTACTACGCAAATATGTACGGACGTTTCCCATGTAAGATATGTAACGTTTCTATACATAAAATCTGCATAACCCAATACAATTTTAACGCGATCGCAAATGTAAATTGGTTGATAAACATAATACAAAAACAAACATGTAACACAACATTTGTGCAATTTCGTCTATGTATCATTGAGTAGCATTTTCGCCGGAAACGTTTTTGACGCGAACGTCTCCTCTCGTCGCTCTCTCCACAGCTGGCAGATTGTTTGTGCGATACAACGATACCTTCTCGTGGCTATACATTGCATACCAAGCCGTCATCTTCTGCGCTGGTCTCGTCGCCCCTTCGGTCATCATCTGTTTCCTGGTCACTGCATGTGAGGAGGCAATACATTCAGTATGTAATTCTCTGTTATGTCGTCTGACTGCGAATAGGAGGTGATTATGTGCAAGCGTTTTCACACCCGCTCTATAGAACGTATACGCGTGTCTAGAAAGGACTTTGTGTGTATCTATTGAGTTATTAGCTCACATTGACATCGTCAAGATGAGCTATTGCCATGGGGCGTTGTCCGTCGTCAGTCCGTCCGTCCGTCCGTCCGTCCGTCCGTCCGTCCGTCCGTCCGTCCGTCCGTCCGTCCGTCCGTCCAGCCGTCCGTCAACATTTGGCTACGGTCAACGATAACTTGAGAACCGTTTGACCCACATGTTTCAAATTGCATACAGTTGTTACTCCTATGGGAGAGATTTGAACGTCATATTTTGGAGCACGCCAGTCGACCTACATTCGAGCACAGAGCATTTGGCAAATTTGGCACATTTGGCACATTTGGCAAAAATGGAAATGGCCATAAGTCAGTTCAGGTTTAACAGATTTTGCTCATTTTTGGCATGTGAATGAATAAGGACTGGCCTCAAAACTATGTCCCAATATTTTTTTTAAATTATGCAAATTATGAAGATTTTGGCAATTTTATATGCATTTCAGTGTCTGCCTACGGTCAACGATAACTCAAGAACCTTTTGACCGATTGCCATCTATCGCCCAGATTTCAGACTTTCAGATCTGAAACATTTATCAAAACTAATTCCCTGAAACATAACAGTGAAATTTCTATTAGTATAAAACAGGGAATAAGAACATTTGATCACATTTCGGTCCGTCATAAATGAAACACTTACCAAATTTTAAATATCACCTCACTCTTCTATCACACCCAAGAAGAGCTATAGTGTCATTGACACTTTCATCCTTATATACAGGTTAGGTCGTGTATAGTTAAATCACGCCTATAGAACGGAGACTTGGCTGTCTATAAATGACACTTCTGGGTTACCCTTGAGCGGGTATTATACTGGTTTGACTGTACGGTTATAATACGCGGATGCGTGTGCGTGTGCGCGCGTGCGTTTTCCCATAACGTTCTGCCGTTTACAAATTATGGAGACTGACCGTTTTACTCTCGTTGTTGCAGTTTGATGACGCGCAATACGGGCTCTGGAGGTCGGTGGTGTTCGTTACACTACCCGTGGTCATTCACATAATTATCTCATTGAAGTACAGTAAAGAAGTACAGGTATATCCGATTAATTTGTCTCCCGTGTTTCACGCTTGACCTCATTGACGGACTACATCTCGCCTGGCTCAACCCGCCCCACCGTTACCCACGATAAATTTAAATAGGATTAGACATCATTATATGATTTTGCTAGAGCGTTGTTAACGTCATCGACAAACTAAATGAAGATTTCCGTTTCTTTCAGCTGAAAATGGTCGCCCTCCTCACGATCTTTTACGGCATTATAATGTTGATCGTTGCCATTGGACTGATTGCGCAGATGTGCGTTGCCTCGGAGGTTACGCCCATTCATTATTTGATGGGAGCTGTCTTTGTACCGTTTATCGTGGGTGGGATATTTCATCCTAACGAGGCATGGTGCCTCGCCCAGTTCGTAAGCAATCGCTAATTTAGCACAGTCAACCCTCCGAATTCCGAACGCCCTCAAACCCGAACCTTACGTTGAACCGGAAGATTATTTCCAATGTCATCTGAGACATGTAAGATGCCTCCTATAAACCGAACTTTCACAAAAAACATAACTAAATAGACGGTCCAAATGGTGGTCGGTATTGGAAGAGCTTACTGTACAAAGTTGTTCAATATAGCCATATTTTACCCGTGTTGGTGGATAGGCCTACAATATTGTGGGTGAAATATAGCACAGTATAACTAACACATTCTGTGAGCAGCTATGATGAATACCTATGCATATAATTATACGCTGTATATGTTTTGTTCAGGGCTATCTCAATCTGAAATCATCCTTACGACGCTCGTATATAGAATTGTAATCACAACTATTAAGCATTCATTCGTCTTATTTCTGCCTGCTCAATAAATTTAAAATGTGTGTGAATTTAAACATTATACGATAAGCGATCTGGCTAAAAATTTAACGATATCATATCTGGGATTTTGTAAACATACTTCCGCAAGTTTATCATTCATGGAAAGTTGATTTCAGTACGTATATCGTGTCTGTCGGTAAATATATTGTTATGCATGCTATTAATTCGTTTCATTCTGCTACATTAGCCCAGGTTCTTGAAACATGATCATCTCTGTGTTGATTTTCTTTTAACACACGTGATGCATTTCTGTAGGTGTGGTATTGGCTGACAATACCTACGATGTTCGTACTACTCTACATATACACTGGTGCAAACCTACACGATGTTAAATGGGGCACACGAGAGAAGAAACAGACAGATGCAGAAAAGAAAGAAGAATTGGAACTCGATATGGCAGAAAAGAAAGGCGCCAAAGAAGGTGACATTGACAAAAGTTTCCTTGCTGTATTATACATGATTACAAATAGCGATCTTGCTTAGTGATGAATGCAGTATTTCCACAATGAGAAAGGCAGAGAGGGTAGAAAGAAACGAAAAAAGGTAGAAAGAGTGAGGATGGAGAGCGAGGTTGGGGCAGAGAGGGGTAGATGGAAGAGAGGAAAAACGGGAAGCAGATGGGAAAGAATGGCGAATGACGAAAAGAGCAACGGACTGTGGGAGGAGAAAGTCGTTTCTGAACTTTAATTTTTATTTAGATCGCTTGTATGTGTCACAGAGACAACCCCTCTTTCAAACACAAGTTTCCGAAAGCAATCTCCAGAGCACTAGGCGCATGATAATTGTTACGCGAAGCAAAATAGTACGGCTGCAGCGTTATATGGTCGCGTTTTCTGAATTCCACTGCAATGCCTAAATTTGCACTCTCATCAGAGGGCGCGTTTCCGCGAGCTCCCAGTTGAAACACCGTGAACATATACTACTATAACATCTTACGACGTGCTAGTATCGCATATCCTCTGGTTACATGAAGCATTGTTGATAGATTCGTATGGTTTGAGAGTAGGTGGCTGCTAAGGTTTATTAACCTCACATGATTATCCGTTAGATGTGAAAGACCAGCCGGAAACCGCAGTGGCTTCCACTACAGGAATTTACGCCAAGACTGCCGCGGTCGTGTCCATGAGTTTCAATGACTACTTTCACTGGATGTGCTGCTTATACAAAACTACAGATAGGTATGCGGTGCTGCTACTCTTCTGCCGTACTATTGGTTACCACTCTCCTGCTATGTCCGTTACCCTTTGATAGAGACAATACTGTCCACGGAAATTTCCGTATTCAACCAATATTTTCGGGTGGTGCCCCGGGCACGCGTCTTTACCTATAAAGAATTATTAACTGATAAAAATGATGTATAAACAGCCGGTACATTATCCCGTTGTATACAGTTTACCTATCTCTATGCCGCAGCGACGTCTTACAAGAAGTCGAGATCAAGGAACGGATGGATAAATTCACCGACCGAGTGAGTTGTTTGATGGAGAAGCTCGATATGCCCAAGATTTCAGACGAGGAAGAAGAAAAGGTACTGGGCGACGTCAACGTGGAAACGGAGGTACCAAAGAAGGAAACGAAGATATACAATAAGGATGCCTCTGCGGCTAGGGAAGAATACGAAATGGCTATACGTGAACCTAAACCGACGGCGATAGTTGCAAGTGAGTTATCGACGGTAATTGCACCGAAGTTGAAATGTAAAAGAGTATGTCCTAACCACCATTCAAATCGTTACACATCTCAGGGGACCATTGACTCGGGCAATCATCACATAAGTTCCCCGCGGTCTTTAATTATGAAAAGGGAAGTCAATACCTTATTAGGCAGTACAGTGTTTTTATTTGTCTTATTGTAGAGGTACGCCATTTGCTGGTGAATCCTTATTGGCTAGACCACCCGAAGCTGGAAGGTGCGCGATTGCGGTTGGCTTCTAAACATGAGGTCGCATATTGGAAGCTTCTGCTTCAGCGCCACCTAGCGCCGCGAGAGGAAGATAAAGAGCAAGTAGCGAAGGTAACAGATCAAGTTTCGCGTAATAAAATAGTTTAGTGCAAAACTATATGCGTGTGTGCATGAACATGCGTGTGTTAGTAGTGTTTTTCGACGCGCATGTACGTGTATGCTTGTCTACATGCGTGTCTTGCGGGCTTATGTCCGTTTTTTGCAAACGTGTCTACTCGTGAGCGTGTGCTCTCATACGTGTGCGCGCGTGTGCTTTCTTACGCGTGCGTGCGTGCGTGTACATGAGCGCTCATGCTTGAGTGTGCATGCGAGCCTATACGTGTGAGCGTGTGCATGCGTGTGCGCTCATACGTGTGCCTGCGTGTACGTGAGCGCTCATGCGTGAGTATGCGTGCGCGCCTACACATGTGAGCGTGTGTGTGTGTGAGATCCTCCGTGTGCGTGCGCAGAATACCCACGAACAAACCAAGTAACTACTAATTAAACTACGCAATTAATCTGCCAAATTATTTCCGCTAATCATTAATTAACCTCCCGTGATCTCGCCTCGCCTGTAGCTGAAGCGGGAGCTGCGACGCGTGCGTAACCTGGGCTCGGCGGCCGTGCTCGGCCTCAACCTGCTCTTCATCACCTTCCTCTTCTTCGTCGACATCAACCCGGGCTTCGAAGTCGCGTGGCCGTTCTCCGACGACGACGTCGAATTCAGCATCGTGACGGCCGTCTTCGCCCTCTTCTTCGTCGGAATTCTCGTCTTGCAGACGTTCGGCATGGTCTACCACCGCGTCGGCACGTTCATGCACGTCATGGCGACGACGACCATCTTCCCGACAGCCGACCGTCGGCCGTCCGCCGACGACGATCTCACGGAGAACGGGGTGGTTTACGCCGACGCCCTACAGGATCTTTCCACGGGCATGTGGCCGGACGAAAGCGAGGCTCGGATTTCAGCGGACGCCATCTTAGATACGGGAGGCAGCAGCAGCAGCAGGAGGAGGAGCAGGTACGAGTCGCCTGCGGGAGAGTCCCCGACCTGCTACGAGCAGGTGTTTCTGGATAGAGCTCGAAATCTGTCGAAGAGCGGCCGCGGAATCGGCGCAGCGAAGCTTCCCGACAAGAGACGACGATCGAAGCGAGACGAGACAGCGGACGCCATCTGGCGGAGAGTGTCGAGCAAGAGTGGTGATAAATCCTAAACAATAAGTAACGGTATGTGGTGAACGCTGTTCCGGCGGCGAATTTTCGCGTCCCGGCGGCGAAAATTCGCGTCCCGGCGGTTCGTGGGTGTGAGACCACATCAGAAGCTACGATACGATAAGATATACCAAACTCAGGCCGAGACTTTTGTCAACGTTGAATGCGTGATTTAGAAACCCTATTAATTGTTCTAATACAGTAGATAGGAGTTTAATGAAAACGGGTCAAGGTCAACGAATATGAATTAGGTTATTGACTATAAAATACAATATACCATTAAGGAAAATTCTGCAGTCAACTTTCGCTATTAAAAATCTGATATTTCGCGTGTTATAATCGGCACTTCTATTATGATTTCTGAACTAAAAGGCCCAAATAAGTTGACGTCATTATCTGACAGCATACGCCACATATGTACACATGTACGTACGTATGTACCACACTATACTACCGGTAAACGCGTGACGTGATTCGTATAGACACTGATCTCAATGATAGATGCGCTTGCTCTCGAGAACATGCTAGATTGGTTACGTACCATATTCCAGATAGACTGATTGGAAAACAAGCTGGCTATACTTCTGGGTGCCATTAGCGATATATATATATGGTATGCGATCTCCCACGCGTGTTAGAAACCCTACAGATATAGGCCCTATATATTCTCTACATTATTACGTATTTTCACATATTATACTATAGGTGGCGCTGATATACAATATTGCGTGCTGCGCGTGGTTGGTTGGCAGCGTCTCAAGGACGAGTGCATTTACCTTGGCACGGCGTGACGTCGTGTCGGTACCATTATCACGATGAATGAGCGACGTATAGCCGCAGGCACGGCGATCCTCCGTCTAGTATGTGCACGCATAATCAAAATGCTCGAAATCTCTTTTCTAATAGCGTGAGCATTCTCGATGAGGAATCAGCAAATATATTCAATTACGAACCCTATACGTGCAAACGATCTGCTACAATATACTATTTATTATACGATCCCGAACTACAACTAATTATTTTACAACTACAATTTATTCAGTCGCGTATTCATCAGGTATTCCTAGGTATATCTGGCTCAGGTTCGGTGCTTTCACAGTGACGCAGATGACACGGGATGATGGAAGGGTTGAACCTGCAGGGGTGTTAACGTAAAATCTAGTAGTGTATAGGTAATAGCTCAACACTCGTATGTCCATAAATATCCTCTTTGAACATCTCACTAGAGAATGCGTTATCCGCGCTTGGGCGCTATTAATAAACGATTTAATTTACCAAATTCACCACGTACGTGTGACTAACACCTTTTCTAGTTACCGAATAACGCTGGAACGCGCCCTGCACACTATATTCGCGCAGTGAGTCGTAAAATTAAATTGGTAGGTTACTCATAAGTTGCTACTCGGCTGGCCATTGTGTCCCAGTGGTTGGCTTAGCAACGCTAGCGCCAAAATCTCCAGTAGAGGTATGCTTATGCCGCTCGTGCCTCGTGGTGATCACGTGCGATTGTGCATGTCACTGTGACTTGTGTGTACGCACTGTATACGGCTTGCATGTTTTTTCGTTACTACGATCGGTATTGTGTTTGGGTTTTGCTGTGGAAAACAGTTTACTTCATCTCTTAGTATGAATATCCTGTGACGAAAAAAAGATGTGGTAACATTCCCGCTGGTATCACGATGCATGACGTAACGTCTATATCGTAGCCATTTTGAATAAATTGGTGCAACTGATCTTCGTGGTGAAGAGATGTTACTGACAGACACTGACTGGTTCTTCGATTTAGTTGATTTCATACCACCTTACTTTCTTTATGTACTTTCCTGGAATATCGAATTCAATAAGCTGACTTGAAGCGCACGTGGGTTAATACATCTCACACAAAATAGGCCTTGCACTGTAATAGGCTGAGCCTCATAGCCAGTTAGACACGTGTACCTGGGGCTCAATGACAATAGGCTAGTGCTGCATGATATTCTATTTACTTACCGCAAGCGATACACTATATACACTCGAATCGACCATTGTTATAATTGCTACTGTAGTGGTAATTTATATAGAGATAGCTATTAGGTCAAGATGATTCATTCCGTTACGCACGTAAGCTACCCGAGCTCCTGGTATTACACTTGCCGATCGTATTACTTTAGAATAATAATTAATTTAAGAAAAATCGCCGATGGCATGCTGTCTCGTCTCAGACAGATACGAGAGTTTTAAAGTAGATTACGCGCAGCGTGGGCGGCGCACAGCCTATACGTTCCGATGCGATGAAACCTCGCCAGCGCGGAAGCAGACGCACCCATTTTTACTCTTTTCTTATAACACGTGATTTCGTGTGCATCGCTCGAGGATGTGAGTTGGTTACCTGGACTGATGAGTCACTACACCAAAGTTATCACCTGGAGTGTCATCATGCGCGAGTGCGTGCAAGCACCCCCTCCGCTTATCTTATTACCTGAGTCCTGAGAGTAAATTGTGTAAATTGTGTAAATTCATTCGACCATGTCGCATCGTATTTCTTCGTTGTCCATGTGCGCGCGCGCGTCTGTCCGTGCGTGCGCGCGTGCGTACGCGTATCTGCGTGTGTATTTGTGTGTGTGTTCGGCTGCGTGTGTGTATGTGCGTGTGTGTATGTGTATGAGCGCGTGTGTGTGCCTGTGCGTGTGTATATTTGCGCGTGCGTCTGAACCTGAATGCGCGTGTGTGTGTGCATGCGTGCGTGCGTGCGTGCGTGCGTGCGTGTCGACGCGCAACATCATCACAATAAGATACCATATTAATTAACGAGCGCTCCACCTGCGACGCGTGGTGGCTCCACTCGGTGAGGCAGGTAAATGAGTTAAACTGACATTCGCATGCGCGGGTTCAAAGCTGCACGTTTGTATTACGGGCGTGGACCGGCAACGTGTCTCCCGGTAGCTTGAGCGGTATTTGCTTCCTGCTGTGCCGACAGCTAGCTATTGTGCGATGAGAGCTTAGTCTGACGTTTTCTAGTTGCACCCACTTGCAACCTGGGCCACCCTGATTGATACTATAGAGAGTAATATATTATCGCATCTGTTTATGAGTCAAATAACCGTATTAATTAGCGCATTCGACAGACTATACAGACCACGAGTATCCTGCATTAGCATATACCAGGTATATAAATATTCAGTACGCAGGAAATTCGTTTGTATCGCGTTGAGCGCGAGACGCCTGGATTAAAAGGTTCTATGTCTAAAATTGAAATGGTGAGTTATAGCAATTGCTAATTATTTTAACGCACATGATATGTTATATATATATCAGCTAGTATCTCACCATCATAATGCGTGTTCAGGCAACTGACAGCACATGCAGCTTGACAAATATAACAGACCGCTAGCCGAAGCTGTTTCGTTAGAGAAAGTTGGGATATATTTCGAAATTAAATCAACGAATATCAACCCTCGAACCCGATGACGTTATTCCTGAATATCGATATCGTAGCTTAGTTGAAAACTAACGTAGACTAAGGCAGTCTGACTACGTCCATGTGCACATTACGTGCGAGCCACCCGTCGCGAACTATTCCCTTCTGATGATTTACCAACTATCAAACTGGGTTAGTGGCAATAAAAACCGTTAATAAAAGCGGACACCATGTCGCTAGGACGTGTCCCTGCCCTCGTTAGATTCAAGTGACCTTACGTAAGCTCACCTGTTACAACCTAGCAGGTGCCCAATCATCGGGCGCAGCGGGGGGATGCGGCTATATGCTTGCTCGACCACGTCGGCGGGCATGGTCATTGTGCGTCCGCGTATATCTGCGGTCATCTCGCCGTACTACATATACGCCGCCTCTAATGAGATACGGTCGTAATTGGCGATAAACGGACTAAGATGTACCTACACAACACTTAAATATACAAGCCGGACCGTGCTTACCAGAAGCAGAGCGGCACATGCAAAGCTGTGCAATAAGAGCACCTCGTCAGACCGTCGCCCCACTGATACATTTACATTATATCTATAAAAGTATCTATTAAACTCGCTTGAGATAAAACAGAAGCAATGTACGTCTGCACATAGCGACTGCAATCGTTACGTAAGTTGTGTTAGCGCGTATGCATAAACTTAGACACGCCAACGAATGTACAATTCTAAACTGCTAGATGCGGTTTACTTGCTGCGAGAATTTCTCATTCTTGTGCTTCTATACCCACGAGAAATTCTTCGATGAGTAATATGACCACACGCATGAAGGGATATGATTTATTTTATTGGAATGTTGCGCTGTTGTCAGTTTATATCTATACACGCACGCACGCATGAACGCGCACACGCATGCACACGCCCACGCATGCACGCGCCAGCTTAACGGGTTGTGCTTGTAGCGAACTCGTAATCTAGGAGTGGTGGGGGCGAACGTAGCAATCTTGTGCCATCTTGTCACTAGACATCTTGCCGTTCACATTTCTGCCACTCTTTCGTCTCAATTTAATGGCAACGGAGTGACCTCGTCGGACGGGTCGTACATATGTCATGTGACGTACGCTGCTCGTTACCGTTGGGCCCTTAGCAGCGTTCGGGTCGCCCCTTTATTCGGGTGTCATCTTTACCCCGTACAACAGATGGTTGGGCTTGAGTAGGATAAACGCCAGGGCAGGCAAACCCTGCCAGTGTAGTTTATTCAATTAAATCGGCTGGCTTGGCGTTATGATTGGTGCGCCGGTGCGTGGGCTCTTTAGTTTGTTAGTCACTATAGTGAAAAATTGAAGGGGGTCAGCATCTAGCGCCGTAGCTGCCAGGCCCGTGCATGCGCGGATCATAGGCAAAGGCTGGCATATGTAGTCCATGTAGTGCCCAGTAGAAATAGAATATGTGTTAATTCTATATCTAATAGTTCTATTCTCTTCTATTGACTATTTCTGCTAGGTAGTAAGCCCCCTTCGTACACTCACTGATCTATACATATTCCACGCGAGGTGCGTTCGCACACGCAGCTACTTGTTTACTTAGCTTCGGGCCCGCGTACACTTGTTCAATGTTACATCGGCAGGTCGCAACATTTCAACGACTGGGAGCGTTGCTCACCTCGCGTTAAATCGGAATGTTTTGTTCGAAATTCTTCATTTGCATTTGAATTTTTCACAACCGCGCCCTTACCTTGTTTTGCCCCGAAGCTTTTAACGCGTTTCCATTTCAGAGAAACCACTGCTTTTTCGTCACAGATGTGAACGCGTTGGCGTTTGGCCGCCAGGCGTTCGGTTCCGAACCTGTTTTGACCGTGTTTTTTACTTACACTCCAGTCGCCACCTTCTCATTACCATGATACCTAAGTACGTAGACATTCATAGTGGGCAGGCCGACTATGTGGCTCGCTGAATTTAAATCCAGGATATAAGAATATTATTGAGAAGAAAACCTGTCTGGCAGTGTTGGGCTTAATTAAGGCGTATAGGTGTAGTAAAACTGGAGAGAGAGAGCGAGAAAGAGAGAGAGAGAGACGAGAGAGAGGGAGAGAGAGAGAGAGAGAGAGGAGAGAAGACGACGAGGGAAGAGAGAGACGAGAGAGACGAGAAGAGAGCGAGGGAGAGAGGAGAGGAGAGAGAGGAGAAGAGAGAGAGAGAGAGAGGCAGAGGAAAGAGAGAGAGAGAGCGACAGAGAGAGGAGAGAGAGAGAGAGAAGAGAGAGGAATGAGCAGAGAGAAGAGAGAGAGAAGGGAGAGAGAGAGCGAGGAGAGAGAGAGAGAGCGAGGAGAGAGAGAGAGAGAGAGAGAAAGAGAAAGAGGAGAGAAGAGAGGCGAGAAGAGAAGAGAGAGAGAAGAAGAGCGAGGCAGAGAGAGAGAGAGCGAGGGAGACCGAAAGAGAAAGAGAGCGAGGGAGAGGGAGAGAAGAGAGAGAGAGAGAGAGAGAGAGAGAGAGGCGAGGAAAGAGAGAGAGAGAGAGACAAGAGAGAGAGAGAAGAGAAGAGAGAAAGAGAGAGAGAGAGAGAGAGAGAAAGAA